GCCTCCCTCAAGTAGGCGATCTTGAGGGAGGTAGCCATTCTGCATCTACAGACTGCAAGTTGCTACTTTGTTCTTCAGCATCGGCGGGGGATCCGACGTTGCTCTTTGGTGTTGGAGTCAGACCCTCCTACATGATAGGACACTAGTGTAGACGTAGCGAATAGTGTTAGGAGGACCATATGAGGAAGGGGGGTGAGTTATACTTCATCTCAGAGTCTGGGCCACTGAAGTAAGTGTCGTGGACATAAGGGTTTCCCATGTGTGAGTGCATGGTATTGTGTGTTCTGTTCGGGTACTTTTGGGTCCCTTTCCTTCTCCTCTGAAGTCCTGGTTGTGTGCATTGGTGTGCAAACTGCTCATTGTTTACTAAGCTGATGGATGTAGAGATGAAGTATCTTGCTTTGAATGCCATATCTTTCTACAATGCGTTGTCTTTTCATTCTGAATGGATGTAGTCTGTAGGTTCTCTCTTGAAGTTGAAATTCGTCTTTCAGTACGGTAGAGGTAAAAAGTAGGACCTTGTGGTACTCTTCTTGCTTGGGACTTGGTCGCGACCTACGTGGGACCCATAGGGACTCGGTGGGAACCGCCCCAAACAAAAAGGGCCCTTTGGACTCAAATCTGTTGACGAAGTGTCGCTCACTTTTCTATCTGGAATTCGTTGCTCTTCTTTTGTATTAGAACACTCGCTGCCGAGGGGATCTCGACAGAGATGTTTTGCGGACTGATGACGCACAATCCGATGCTTGACCTGCACCTTATACGCGACTCAATTCTCCATCGCTGTATGTTGTCACTAGTCTAATTTGTTGTACTTGGACGGTGCCGATCAGATTAGGCTCGAGGCGATCTCGTACTTGGTCTGACCGGACTAAAACGCAGAGTCATAACTCTCTTCTGAATTATCTTTATTTTTATATTTATTGGTTGCTCTTTAATCCAAATATTTTGTCGCTCTGGTTAGGAGTTCTACCTTCTCTTTTGTGCTTTCAGTTTGTTTCTTTTTAATGAAGTCCATTGTATACCCGTAACGACGCGCAGACAAGACAAAAGAGAGAGGGAGGTCATGGCAATAAAATGATCTAGGTATTCCAATGTGGCATCCAGCAAGCTTTCTGATATTTTAAAGGCTCATTTAAATCTTGTGGATGAAGAAGATAAACCGTTGTACCAGGCCCTCTATCAGAAGGAAGTGGCCGAGGAAGAAAAGAGGAAGAGGCTAAGCAGAAAATAGTCGTTGAAGATCTTGAGACTATTTTTAAAATAGTCTCAACCTTGCTTGATGCAAATATTAAAAAAAATGTGGTCAAGTATGTATGTGCCCTTGTAAGTTACCATTTGCTCAGCGGACTCCCGATATTGAAGTCCCAACTACTCGATCAAATGAGCTCGATCAAATGAGTCAGATGCGTACTCAGATGACATATACGGCCCAAGGAGCACTGCGATCAGATACAATGAATGGCAATTATGCATCATGCCCAAATCTTAAGTTCTCTTCCCCGACCTCTTGCTGGTAACCGTTCTACCTTGCACCTCTCCATTCTTCTTCTTCTTCTTATTCGTCTTCGTTGACTTTGGTGGTTAATCAGTCAGGACCTACAATAGGTGCAGATTCCGTTGCCGCTACAATCGACAGTACAGGAAATTTTGCAACTGCCGCAACCCCAAGTTCAGATCCAACAATGGCTGGTCCCAGCTATAGCAGTCCATACATGGAAAGAAAGGCAGTAATGATACTGTTCAGATATGATGGCAAGGAAAATGTTTAGGCTTGGATCAGCTCCATGAGAGCTTACTTTTAGGTATTGGACATTCAAAGAGTGAACCAGTGCTTGATCCTAGGGACGAACGTCGAGGCTGTCGCAAGGGGCTTCCTAGAAGTCCAGGCTATGCAATCTAGGTATCCCAGGATCGACTTAACGGAATGGCTTAAAGTCACCCTAGCTGCCGCTCTCGAAAACATACTATTCGCGCAATACAAAGACCCTCATGCTGCAACTATAGTAAGGATCCAACTCGATGAACTTAAATGCAAAAACTGGTATGACACCATGCTCAAGTTGCAATTGCATGTCGACAAACTCTTCAAGTTGCAATTGCATGTCGACAAACTCTTCGCTACACCAGGATTAGAACTGACAGCGCAATCGTGCTTGGATGTTGTTAAAGGTACGGTTCCGACCCATTTCACCAATCGCCTAGGCAAGGATTTCTTTGGTCACACAGACAACTTTTCCTTGATGAAGGATGTAGTAAGTCTAGAGGCAGGAGACCTCCTTACCACAGCAAGCAACAAAAAGACCTTTGTTCGCGGACGGTTTCGTGGCAACAGTCGTCTTGCTGCGCTTGACTTGTTGGAGGTGGAAGGGGAGGCCAAAGCAGATGACCCCACTCTTGGCGACGACCAAGAATAGGACGCTGATACCGCCTACTCTTCCACTCAAGAATCCGATATCAACAATGAAAATGAAGAAGTTGGTGCCTTCAAAAGGACTGCCCATACTAAGGGAAACCAAAACCGGAATTCAGTAAGGAACTTCGTCGCACTCCCTAAGGGAGCCAAAATCCCGGTCAATCCGGAAGACTTAAGTGGACCTCCGGATCAGTGAGGCTGAATGGACAACTACAATACGAAAGGAGGTTGCGTGCATTGCCAAAACGCAAATCATAAGGTCCAAGGATGCCTTAGGCTGTAGGGAAACCTGAATCGGGGGTCGAGGGTTCATCAACACACTCTACAACAAGGGAGTCTAAACCGGTCAGTTAAAGTTCGTCAAAGGAATACGTCACGGACCAGAAGTCCTCCCTTGAAGCCCCATCTTCTGCTGATTCCAAAGCTAATGAATGTCATGTTTTGTATGTTGAGCCTTGTGAGGAGTCAGAGAAGGTCGACTTTCACTATCACGTAGAGCATTGGGCTGAGATTAAACAACAACGTGCGCAAGGGACAACGAAGTTAATCTTCTTCAAACTTCTCGTTAACCACCGCTATTTTCGTGTCTTGATTGATTATGGTGCCACGACAAATTTCATGTTACCACACGGTATACACAAAGTGGGTTTGGGGATGAAGCAAGTGGCCTTGCAGAGCCCTTGCCGGACTCAACTAGGCAACAAAGAGGTTCTCTCATCTACGCATGCAGTCAGAGGTGTGCGCACTACCTTTGACAAAGAAAAAACTATCCTACACGCATTGAACTTCTATGTCCTCGACAAGTGTCTCTTCGATGCAGTGCTCGGGTTGGGCTGGTTGAAGTCCCAATGCGAATGGACCAAGTTGAAGAAACCGCTTTTCATGGTCAAAGATGCACAAGGGAGCGAGTGTCCCACCCTCCTGGATGAAAAGCTCGATTCCCCAGTAACCTTTCTTAATGCCATGCAGTTCATGGAAGAAGTGGCGCAGGCATAAGGAGGATGAATAGTTGTACGTTGCCTTTGTTCGTACTACTCATGTGCCTTCTCCTTTTGCGGCCGGTAATAATTCTACTTTGCATGATAAATCTACTTTTATCCCTACACCTACTTCTATCCCAAATGAGTCTACTTCAAATTCAGTTGCCCTCAGTAAGAACTTGCGACCTCATCTAGGTGATCTTTTTATTTATACCCCACCCCCGTCGATCCCAACAAGCATCCAAAGCCTACTCGACCGATTTCTGGAAGTTCTGGCTGAACCTCGTAGAGTTCCCAYGCGATCGGTCCGACACACGATTGAGTTGGTTGAAGGTGTTRTTCCCCCAAAGGGTTGTGTGTACTGTATGGGATCCGGAGARTTGGAGGAACTCTACAAAAAGATCGATAACATTATCAACAAGGGATGGATTAAGCCTAGCGAATCTGAATTTGGTGCACCCGTTTTATTTGTCCCAAAGAAAGGAGGCAAACTCCGTATGTGTATTGATTATCGTGGTCTAAACCACATCACGAGGAAGAATGCATGTCCATTGCCACACATAGATGATTTGCTTGATGTTGCAGATGGGTGCAAGGTCTTCTCCAAGATTGATCTCAAGTCTGGATACCACTAGATTGAAGTCGATCCTGCAGACCAACACAAGATTGCGTTCACGACACGCGACAGGGTTTACGAATTCGCCGTAATGCCCTTCGGTCTCACAAGCGCACCGACCACCTTTCAAACTTTTATGGACAAGGTCCTCCGCGAACAAAGTGGTCTGTTTGTGGTTGTGTATCTCGATGACCTTCTCATTTTAAGCAAATTCATCGAGGAACATATGAAGCACCTTGAGGAAGTGTTCACCATCCTCAAGAAAACGCAACTCCATCTCAACTTAGAGAAATCTCAGTTTGGGAGGGACAACGTCATCTATCTTGTGCACCAGTAGTCTTTTGCAAGCCTTGAGCCTGAGGCAACCAAGGTTGAGGTCATACACAAGTGGCCTCAACCTGCGAATGTCCACGAATTGCATTCTTTCCTTGGCCTTGCATCGGACTCTCCGAAGTTCGTTCACCGATTTTTAATTTTTGCTCGCCCATTGTCCAAACTAACAAGCAAGAACATATCTTACACATGGGATGCAACATGTGAGACCGCTTTTCAAACCTTGAAAGAGGCCTTGGTTATCTTGTACTCCGCATTGCAAATTCCAAACTCACATTCGTAGTCACTACGAATGCGAGCTAGTATGGGATTGGCGCAGTGTTGCAACAAGATGACGGTGATGGCTTGAGGCCGCTCGAGTACTACAGCAAACGCATGCCCTGTGAAAAGGAGCTACTTCCATCTTCATGCTCGAGTTCTATGCTCTGCGCGAGGCATTGAATTATTGGAAGCACTAGGTCGCCTCTTATAATGAGACCTTGAAATGGATCAAGGAACAAACCACCGTGTCCCCTACGTTGACTCGCTGGTTCCATGAGATTGACATTTTTTATTTTGAATTGAAAGTTGAAACACAAGAAGGGCTATTATAATCGAGTTGTTGATGCATTGTCTCGCCACCCCGAGTATATGACTTGCCTTGTGAACTCCTACAACCTCCGGAGGAAACTGAAGGAGGAGCTCGTGGAGCAAACTGCCAAGGACACCGACCTAAGCCCGATCCTTTAGAAGTTGCAGGTTGACCTGAATAGTTAGCCTGATTTTCACGAATGCGAAGGACTGGTTTTCGGACGTTGTGGAAAGAATGACCGTTTGTGTGTACCCAACCATGAACCTCTCCGTGCACACTCCTTGGACTTGACTCACGGTTGGAGTGGACACTTCGGCATGACAAAGACCTACGGAAACCTATTACGACGGTTTGATTGGCCTAGTATGAAAATATCTGCTGAAAAGTTTGTGGTTGAGTGTCAAGTACGTCAACGAATCAAACCATCAAGACAAAAGTCCATGGGGCTGCTTAAACCTCTTCCCATTCCCAACGGTCCAAGAGAGTTTGTCTCTATCGACTTCACGAACATGGGAAAGATAAGTAAGAATGATTATTCACAAGTGATGGTGATTGTTGATCGTTTTTCCAAATTTCGAAATCTAATTTTATTGCCACCTCATGTCCCAACTAAAATTGTGATCCGTGAGTTCCACCAGAAGTACATTCTGCAGTTCGGACCCTCGAAAACCCTTACGAGTGATCGGAACCCACGCTTCATAAGTACTGAATGGATTCTTCCACCGGCATGACGCCAAATAGGCTGCATTACGGTTGGCAGATCCGTAATCCACTCTCTTTCTTATTCCCTGAACGGCCGGCTGGTTTAACACCTGGTAGTCCAGGCTTCAGTGCCAAGTATGATCGCTTGCTTAAAGTTGTCATTGCAACAATGACCAAGTGACAACACGCCATGATCCATCATGCAAATAAGAAACGCCAACCTTTAGATATTAAAGTGGGAAGTTATGTCTGGGTCAAGATGTCTGAATTTTTAGAAGAAGAGGGAGTGTCACAAAAACTTCTCCCTCTCTATTATGGTCGGTGGGAAGTTCTAGATGTGATTGGCAAAGATGAATTCGGTCCTTCATTTACAATATTTCGATTATCGTGAAGACATGATTCCTCGTGTAATCAATGGCGGTCACGAGATCGATAGAATCAAACACCACGTAAGGAAGGGATGTAATAGAAATTATCAGATTCATTTCAAGTATCACCCGTTGGACGATCTCTATTGGATCTCAAAGAAGGAACTGCTGTGCAGCACACCTCGCGTTGTTAAAGCCTACGAGCGACAAATACCCTCTAAGTTGTATCGAAAATCTCTTCAAAACTCACTGCTGCTGAGTACTCACGAAATCTCTTTGCTATGTCGATGCGTTTGTCGGGGACTCTGAATTAGATACTCGCTCGAAGGAACCTCACTCTTAAGAGGGGGGTAATGTAATGACCTGCCAAACATGGACTGAGACACACATCTGATTTCTGAGTTTTGCCCATAGAATGAATGCCTTGCTGAGTTTCCCGCTTGTTTTCGAGTTCTTTAAGTCTGTGTGTGTGCATGCTTGCTGGTCTGCATTCCTGTCTGAGTGCATGTCGGCTCGAGTGTGTGTTTGACCCGCAAGGGCACTTGTTCGTTTAGAAGGCCCGAAGGACCGGTACTTACCTGTGGTCATGACTTTGAGGGTTGCAGAGGAGAAAACACTCAAGTGGCGGGGAAAGAGGCCAGCGGCACTTGAAGCAGCGGAAAACACTCATGTAGCAGGTAGGCCGGTACCACACCAGGTAGAGGCAGATATGTCGGGTAGTCGAGGCCGAGCAGAAGAAGACAAAAGTTGGCATTTTTAGTGGCCCAGTAGTTGTTGGCTAGGTCTAGGCAGGTACCAGTCCAACCAGTCTAAGTCTAGGGCCTGTACTGGCAATATCAAAGTCTGCAATGATGTTTCCCTCCGAAAGGGAGGAGGTACCGGTTGCTCGGAGCCACGCGGCCTACGAAGTCACTCGCCAAGAGGCAAGCAGACCGCTATATCTCCAGGAGGTGCTCCTCCTGATTGTAGATGTGCAAGTTTGGCGACACACTGGTTGGAGCGCTGGCTGGAGCAGCGCTAGCTTGGAGCCGTGTTGCTGGGGAAGGAGCAAGGACACGGTGGAGAAAGAAGACCAGGACTAGGAAGGGGAGCACCAGAGATACTTACCAGGCTATGGTGGTTGCCATGTTCATCACCTTGGTGGGCGCTTCAGCAGGAAGGCCCCAGTTGGGGTAGAGCTACACCAAGAAGCTTCGAGGCAGAGTCAGGCATGGCGGCCTGAGTTAGAGCAGCCATAGCTACTTTGTGTTGTCCTTTGGACAGCAGGGTGATGCCCTGGTAGTCTGCCATAGCCTCGACCTTGGAGGAAGGAGGAAGAAGGGCGGCCATGGCTATTGTGGACCTCATGTGATATGTGCTGTAGAAGCGGGATTTGGACATTGATTCTGGTTCAGGCATTCAACATCGTTATTATTTCTTGTTTGAATAAGAGGGGAAGAGATAAGGAGGAGGAGAGTGGTTGGCGAAGAAGAAGAAGAACATTATCATTTGTCTATGTTGGTGTACATCATCTTCTTCTTTTTTCTTTCTTTCTTCTCCTTCTTCTTCTTCTTCTTCTTCTTCTTCTTCTCCTTCTTCTTCTTCTTTCCCTCTCTCTCTTCTCAAGTTCATTCATTTCTTTTTGCAATTGGACGACATTTTACTTTCTGATAAATGTGTACTTCGAAATTGGCCAGGATCATAACATTAATAATTTAATATATTTTGGTGTTGCAATCATTGGCTGTAGATGTGCTTCCTGGGAGCAGGGGTTAGAGGTTGTGAGAAGAAAGGACTGTAGACTCAGGGGCTGACTGCTCAATGTAAGGGAGATGATATTCGATGTGGGTTAGTGGAGTTTGAAAGGTGGGATTGGTGATGGCGGTTTGTAAGAGTT